TTTACAATACCACAGTGATCTGTTATTGTCATCTAGCTAGCAAAATAAGGCTTAAAATGCTAGCAGACAACCCAGACATTTAAAGTAAATTGACATTTCTTTATTATCTGAGAGTCGAGGAAAGGATAATACCAAGATTTTTTTTATTTTCCTCTCCTGTAGATTTCAGAGCACTGTAATAACAAGCTAAGAGAAAATGGCTAAAGATATTTTGAGAAATCAAGCTTAATTGTTAAAACCTGTGGGATTTTTTTTTTCCCCTCATTCACATACTGACAGCTCTTCTGTCCTGCAGAGTACCGTTCACATCATGCAAAACTGCTTTGTAACATCAAAGCATTTGTTGCACTAATTGACTGCAGCAGCTCACCCAAAGTGGCTGTACCTCAGCAATGATGAAATGACTGTTTAAATCATTAGGGGTCTTTGAGGTTTAATTAACGGCCTTTACTAACGTTCTATGAGATGAAATACGAAGTATTACCGTACGTTATTATTAAAAGCCTGACCCATTGGTTTGCATTAAGAAGATGTTTTATTTTTTTTTCAGTGCAAATATGCTGTGAAACATCAAATAGATTTTAAAATATGTATTTATTAATTGTGTTTATCTTTTACTCATCGTTATTGCTTTGAAAAAAATACAGGTGATACTAATACTTCTTACGAGGCGTTCCTGTAACTTGCTCTGTCCTGAGACTTCTCTTTGTGTGATACTAAATGCATTGTTCCAGACCTCCTTGTCCTCCCTGATAGCTGAAGTAAAACTGCAGGAACACAGTTCGCTCTGCTTTCTTCTCTGGTACCTAAAAGAGTTGAAAGTACTACTGCTTTCCTCAGAAAGGATTTTAAAGTCCTGATTTAGGATTGCCTATACTGTAAGTAACTGACATGTACACTTTCTCGTAAGAATCTTTTACATAATAAACCACATGCTAGAATATATGTTGTGTAAATAAATTGTTTATGTTGTTTGACTTTTTTTTTTTTTTTCCCCTTGGATTTATTTTTGTATCGTTTTTGCTAGCTGGACCCTTTTGAAAGTTCCAAATTATCAGTGTCTTGCTTGCCTTCCAGCTCTTCACAGACATACTCACACTCTTTGATTCCCCTCCCCTTTTTTTCCTAAATAAGCATTCCTTTTGCCATTCTTTAAAAACTTGAAATCTGAGCAATAGCAGCACATGCATAGTGGCCACACTCCCATTAAGAAAACTTGAGCTTCAGCAAACATGAGGGTTGTTAACTACCTTTTATTTGTTACATATACATAAGTGCATTCTAGACTTGAGATTTTGTAAGTCCTCAAGGGAAAATAATGAAATGCTGTTCCACTAATAATCCGCGATTGAGTCAGTAGCCAGGAGACATGGAAAATTACGTATATGAAGAGCATGCCAAATTTACTGATGACTTGGTTTTTGTAAACCTAATATTTTTTGAGAGACAAAATAACTCACAATTTCATTTGTTGTGCAGCAGTCAGCACTGTGTGTAGGTGCACCTCCTCTTGCTTAGACTGTACTACTAACAGTAACGTTGGGGAAACCTGTCTGCCCCCTCCAGCTTCACCTGTTAGCATAAGCTGTGGGGCAGAGGATATTTAATAATATCCTAGGAGAAGCTCGAGTCAGTTGCGTACTGAGGCAGTTCAGATTCTCTAAGTGGTAAAAGTTATACTTTTGTATTTTAGGCTGCATTTCTGCTTCTGGGCCTCTTATTTTTAAGAATTAGTAATAAATCGAAAGCCATTAGGGACTGAAATGCTCCGTGTGACCTTTGAAGTAAATGCATGTGAAAGTTGTGTACACGCACTCAGAGCTAGAGTTCGACCCTGAAATTTCATTGGTAGCAGAGGAAGAGTAATAAAATTAATTTTTAGACTAATTACAACTTCGTGACAGAAAACACGATCAAGATGATTATAGGTGTCTAACGTTGAGTGCTTTGAGAAGAAGCATTACTTGGAGAAGCTCAGCGTGGTTATGGCACTGAATTTCTGCTGCACTTTGGTTTAAGGTTCCTAATATAAAAAGGGGACAAGGATTTTCACTGACGAGTTTGGCATGTTTGGCTTTGGTGATTAACAGAAAGTACCATGAGATATAACTACGTAGTTACAGGTTTTCTGTCTGCATGTACTGTATGACTGCTAAGGTTCTCTGTTAGGCATGTGTTTCTCAATTTTGGAAATCATTTTGAGATGTGCTGTTACCTAAGATACTAGAAAACTAATGAACAAACCAAGATTATGCCCTCCTTGGACCTGAGCGTGGCCTGATGGGGATAATCACGTTAGCAGAATTACGATGTTTGCCGCATCCTCTCTTTGCCCTGCAAAACAACGTGTAAGTAAGTAGCTCTTGCGTACATGCAGCAGCAGCGCTTAGAAATCTGATTATCTAAATTGTTTTTGTTTTTGTTCTGACTCTTACTGCCTTGGCCATTGTTAGATGATAGATTAGTTCCCTTTTGTAATGCTTGCTTTATCTAACTTTGTATGTCTTTTTACCTTTTATTTTTCTCATCTCCTTCCTGCACTGTTCATCTTATATTTAAGTTGTCTATTTAGTAGTGTAGGGATCCTTGTAACTCTTCACTTGCATATCTGAAGTCCCTATTCATTACAGACATAACTAAATAGATCTAGTCCATTCTGCCTTCAAGAGAACAAGAAAAGAAATCTGTAATAATAAAGCCATTTTTTCAGCTGCATCATAAACCAGAACTGTTTCTTATACCTAAAGTAAAAATCCAAAGCTATTTA